TTTGGTTAATGGTGATGAAAATGAAGCTGCAGCTGTGAAGGCATGTACCGGACCTGCACAAGTTCAGGCCATAATGGGAGAAGCTTCATCCTCTCCTAGCTTGGCAATAGCTACTGTGATTGGACCATTTCATATACCCCTGGTGGGTAGGAGTTATACACTTTTTAATGTTGTTGACACTATTTAACTTTAAAAAGCATATACAGAATTTGTGTGTGTGTGTGTGTGGTGTACTCTCAATAATATTAAATGTATTTGTTTTTAGATCAGTCATTATGCAACCTGTGCTTGTCTCAGTGATAAAACRAAGTACCCATCCTTTCTCAGAACCATACCCAGTGACTATTATCAGGCTAGAGCCCTGGCCCATTTGGTCAAACACTTTGGTTGGACTTGGATTGGAGCTGTTCGGTCAAATGAAGATTATGGCAATAATGGCATGGCAATATTTACAGAGACTGCAGAGCAGCTGGGCATCTGTCTGGAATATTCTGAGCCGTTCTTTAGAACAGACTCATTAGACAAAATAGAAAAGTTAATTGATATTATCAAGGCCTCCACATCAAAAGTGATTGTTGCGTTCCTCTCTCACATGGACATGGAGGTGCTTATACATGAATTGTCCAACCACAACTTGACAGGGTACCAGTGGGTTGGTACCGAGGCTTGGATTTTTGATTCTCAGACTGCATCAAGGGATAAAAATCACATCTTGGATGGAGCCATTGGACTCTATGTTCCAAAAGCCTATGTCAGTGGTCTTAAAGAGTTTATGTTTAATGTAAAACCACTCGGTTCAACCAATAATGACTTGTTTACAGAGTTCTATGAGGCGTTATTCAGCTGTAAATTTGTACAGTCCCAATCAGACGAGATTCAGAGACAATGTACTGGACAGGAAAATCTGAGTGGTGTGAAAAATGTTTTCACTGACATGTCACACATGTCCATTTTTAACAACATGTATAAAGGAGTGTATGCAGTGGCCCATGCTTTGCACGGTATTTTCAGCTGCAATAAAGCATGCAACAGCAGTGTCCAGCTAGATCCCTACAAGGTGAGCTTAATATCTGAAATCATTATTGTTTTTCCGCAAACTTATAGTTCGATGTTGTTTATATTTTAACCTGTTCATCTTGAAACAAAGCATTTGTTTACATTCTAGAACTCAGTTAAATACATTTTTAGATTTCTAGAACAGAGTCAAAAGCTTAAAAGTTTACGCCTCTCAAATGCTTACTTATTTACTTTTTTTAGTTACAGAGAACATAAACAAAAATTTCTGAGGAATTCATTAAGGTTTGAAGAAAACATTCTTTTAGAACATAATTTTAGAGCATTGAGGCACAAGAATGATCAACAACAAATTTAGTTTTACATTCTATTTGTAGCAGTTTTCCTCCATTTATTTTACTATCAATACTTTTCTTTTCATTATTTAATTCATTTTAGATTTTACAGCACATAAAAAAGGTTAACTTCAAAACAAAGGAAGGTGAGGATGTTTATTTTAATGAGAATGGAGATCCTGTTGCAAAGTATGAAATCATCAACTGGCAGCCAAGAGAAAATGAAAATATGCACTTTGTCACTGTTGGTGTTTATGATGCATCGTTACCTGCAGAAAAGCAAATGAATCTATACAATACGTCTTTAATTTGGGCAAACAACTTGCTGCAGGTAATGTACCATCACATGTTTAGTATAATATATAAAAC